TATATAAGTATTATTAAAAAATGGGGGCCGAAAAAATCATATTTAATATTTTGATCGCCTTCAAGAATAATTGCCCATATTTTATAAAAGCCGAACTATAATGAGACATGCAGCAGGTAATTTTAGGGAAATTGTATTACTAATAGAGGGATCTAATTAGGAAACAAATACACAACCTCCTGTACATATTTGGGTAATTATTTTAGAAGGCGGACAGGGATTTTTTGGACCTATAATTGTGATCCTAAAATTTGCATTATATACTGTACGTATTATCCAAAACTGGGGCCAAAAAAATCATATTTGGTATTTTGATCGCCTTCAAGAATAATTGCCCACTTAAACTTTAGCTGCATATTATTATGTAGATAATGGAATTAGCCTTAAGAATTTTTAAGATATGAATTATGGTTTAATTATTCGATTTATTTGATGTAAAAGAAGACAATGAAGAAATTTTGAATTCAAAATAAAATACGATAATTTTTGCGTTCTTATTTTTTTTTTTTTTGTAATACCTGCAATCAGGCTAGATCATAGTTTATTAATAAATAATACATTTTCACTCGAGCAGCATGATATATACTACAGTTAATCAAATCCAGCCAACTCATCATAAGCAATAATAGCCTCCAAGTTTGATCTTAGGGACAATATTTTGCTTTATAATGGATTTTGGATAAATATTTTTCTAATCCATCACTTTATTGCTGACAGGTTGTCATTATATCAAACTATTGAATATAGAAAATTGCAAAAGGGAATAGGTTGAAAAAAGGATGGAAATATAAAAAATATACAAGCATGCTATAAAAAAAGAAAAAAATAAAAAATAAAATAAAATTCTTTAGCTTTCTCTAAAGATCCACTTCTCAAGATTTCTTCTCAATAAGAAATGTTTTATTGAAATATATTTTTTTCTTCTAATCATCTGAAAAACTTATTTGTTCTTAATTTTAATTTCTTTTTTGTATATCATCTGAGAAGACTTATTGTTTAGTGAGAATCTTTACTTCTAGAAATATATCTAGTCTTAACTTTCTTTGAATAGTAATTTTGTATCTATCGATAATAGAGAGGTGACTTATGATGAATCTTAGGTTTTTATGTAACTAAATAGTAAATTTTTGTATTCTTATTTCAGTAATTTATAATATACTATAAGTTTTAAAATAAAAATTTAATTATGTAATGATAAAATATATATTTAAAAAAATTAAATTTATTAAAAAAAAAAGTAATTAAAATCTTTTAGAATAAGAAAAATATATTAATCCATATTTTTATTACTTTAGAAACAATTATTTATTTATAGAGTATGGTTTAATATATTATCCAATTATTTAATTTCAAAAATATTAAATAAATTTAAATAAAAAATAATTAAATATTATTAAATTAAAATTCATAAAAACTCAATTATAATTTGAATAAATATATTTATTTGATTATTTAAATTATAAATTAAGTATTAATTAAAAATGGCATATTTAAAATTTAAATTTAAATTATAAATCAAATATTAATTAAAAATGATACATTTAAAATTTAAATTGAAATAGAAAAAAATTGAACAAAAATTAAACAAAAATTAATTTTTAGTGAATAAAAATGGTTATTAACAAAAATTAAACAAAAATTAATTTGATGTCAACTTTAAATGAACAAAATGAAATTACAACCATCCTTTAAAAATATAATAAATAAAATCTAAAAAATTGGGAATAAATAAAATAAATATTAATAAAGTCATTAATAAATTTAAATCTAATAAAATTTTATTGAAGCAAGATAAATTAAAACAAATTGTTAATTTAAATTAAACCCAAAAATAAATTATATGGTGAACAAAAAAATAATTAAAAAATAAATTCGATATTTTAATCGAAAAATAATTAAAGAATAAATTCGATATTAATCAAAAATAAAAATCTATTGAATAATGTTAATTGGCAAATTAATTCATTAACAATATAAATAACAATAATGGTATATTGATCAGATAAGATTTTCATTATATTCATGATAACGTAGCGAATATGAAATGTTAACAATATCATAAAGTAACATACTGTAAAATATTGTAAGATCGGCCAATTGCACAAAAACAAACTTGTAGAAATAAATTATATACGCGCAGTTTTTTATTCACCCTGACAAGTTAATTGCCCGTTTATGTAAGAGCGTTTGTAAAGTTATGCACGTATGATAACGACTTTCCTGTTCACCATTTATTAATAATATATTGACCTTTGATGCCTTCTTTAAAAGAATAAATAAATCTACGCCATGTTATAGTATAATATAGTATAAATTGTTAACCAACTCTACCGTCTAATAGTCTGCGTGGTAAACCTCGTGACTAGAAACAAGTAAATATTTAAAGCCAATAGTTTCCATACTTCCCTCTGCACCTTCACACTGATATCCTTGAAAGTTAGAGTGAAGAAATTTTAACGTACGTTGAAGCATATACTTTATTCTGTATGAACACCAAGGATAAAAAGAAGCCTTATAATTCGAAACCAGTCAAGAAGCTCTGCAAAATCGTCTCGCCGCTCCTTATCATCTATGGACCCCACACAAACGACTAGCGATTTCTTAGGTTCGCCTACCGATGGTACCGCTTCATCGCATAGTGTTCTTTCGCAGGTCGAAAAGATTGCACAGACCATGACGTCTGATGAAGAAACGAGTCTCATTGATGGAAAAAACTCCGTTATTCCTTCCCGACCAGAAGGAGATAAAAAGAACGATATATTCGAGGGAATCTCATTTTGATGCATAGATTCCTAAAATACCGTATGCCGCGGTGTATAGTAACCTCTATCGGATACTTCAGGCTATTTTGATGGTACATACCAAAAAAAGTTTTATTTATTATTAAATATCCATCCAGTACTATACACCTCTACATATGATACTTTATAAGATAGTGTTGTTTATTTACGTATCAAGTAAAGAACAAACTACAAGGTCATATGCTTGTCGACTGCATCCGTATTACGCATGTTATGTTATAATGAAATGTGTTTTTTCGAGAGAGGAGGTTCTGGACAATTATTTTTGAAGACGAACGAAATATTAAGCATGATTTTTTCGGTCCACATTTTGGATAATACGCATATGATGCAAATTTTAGGAACACAATTACGAAAATAATTGCCCATTTCTATCGTCTATGAAACAAATACTGCGGTTGATTAGGATAATTTCTTTTCTTTCTTTTTTTTTTTAAGGTCTTGAAACAATAAAGGCTCTAAGTTTTTATGCAAAAAAGTTTTTGTATGGAATAAATTTTATGCAAGAAAATCGTATGCATGATTGACTTTGTACTTTTACTGTGGAATTTCATGTGGTGCACCTTATTTTCATACAGGATCAATTCCGCATAAATTTTAATTATTTTCTTTATTCCTATAATCCAAGTCATTTTGGCGCGTATTGAAAAAAATATAAATAACAATGACACTATGTTTCTTTGATATTTTGGATCCCAATAACTTGCACACGGATATCATTACAATTTATCGCCAAATTTGATTGTCATTCTTAATATATAATCAATAAAGTATTCATTCCGGGCATTGGCAATTTCGGTTTTGCCGTCCGCGAGGCCAAGTGGTATCGGTTTTACTGCCCGTTTCTAACTGTAATTTAAGTGCCTGATTATGAGAAACCACTAGTGCTCCTTTCTGATGCGAATAAATACCAAATAAAAAAAGAAAAAGAAAAAAAGAGGCAACGCAGCGCGGCGCAATGTACCCGGAATAAATATTTGATTAAGGAACATGCATGCCATCTTTAAAGAGTTTTTTTGTGTATATTAATTTCCGCAAGTCTATTTAGAACGTTATCGGCATCACTTTGCTAATTTTGAATCCTTATAACAATCACTTTCAAATTAACAAGGCCATATAATATCCTATATATTCCGATATCCGATTTTACACCATGCACATTTATCTATTTTCCCTAGTACAAGTAAATAGAAAGTTGGAACAAAGAAAAGCTTGGGCGTTTATTTACTATCAACCCCTCCATATAATAGCGGCGATGAATGAATTTTATTGCCTAAAATACGTCATCAAATACAGTTTACAGGTTATCTCTGATTAATATGTCGAATAAGATAGATTAACAGAAACATTCACCTTCGAAAAAAGTAATGGTGAAATAATGGTAGTACATCTCGCGACGTTCAAAGTCTCTGGAAGTTTATTAAATTTGTAATTTATTTATTTATACGCAATTTGATTATAATTCGGAAATTGACGGAATTCGTTTAACTCATTGTATTCGGCATTTTTTAAAAAATAAAAAAGAATATGGCAAACAAGATAATAAATAATAATTTCTTTGATCGTATCTGCAACGGGATAATGCAGATGCAAATGGAATTAAAATATAATACACATACGGTAATATGTATTGCTAATAATGCTATAAAGGGTCTGATTTACCTAATTGACCAAAAAATCGTATATAATATAGCATATCAGGGACTACATAAAGTAATTCTTTGCCGTTCTTTCCTGTGTTAGTAAGTATTTTATACAAGAAAGATACCAAAGAAAAAAAACATTAAATGGAGATAATAGAGACAATAAGAAAACCATTGTGAGAAAATGATCATTTTTGTATCACACATTTTTTCGGAATAGTAAAATGCATAAGTTTTTATATATTTTTAGATTTTCAAAAAAAAAATCAACAAATTCACTCTTTAAAAAAACTTCTATACAATTAGTTTTGACAAAATATATTTTTTTTATTGTCATGGTCTTTCTCTATATAATGAGATTTTGTGATTTACTGTATGTTACGAGATGCCTAATTGTTTTCCTACACTCCCATACAGTAACATTGGCGAAAAAAAAATGTGTTTTTTTTTTTTTTTAATAATAAATAAACCAAAAAAAAAAAAAGATTAATAAAAAATAAAAAAATAAAAAATAAAAAAAACTAAAAAAAGAAAAAGAAAAAAGAAAAGGAAAGTGGAATATCTAAAAATGTGCAAATGCATTATATGAAAAAAAAATAAAAAAAGAAAATAAAATACTTCATGTCCTCCAAAGAACCTTTGCTAAAAACCTTCTCTCATTAGGAGTCAGACCTTCTGGGATATTCTTCTTCTTCCTGATTATTTGAAAAACTTATCTATTTGTGATCTTGATTATTTTCTTGTAATTGTCTAAGGTACTTATTATCTAACATCTTGCTTGTCACTTCCTTTCTTTTGATATTGATTTTTATCTATCTGTGCAGACCTTAATGGCTTATAGTGGACCCCAGATTCTTATATAACCTTTTAATTATATTGTGTAACTACTGATATCTTCTAGCAACTATCTTAGTTAAAGAAATTTTACTGGTAAGCATCTTCTATTGTTCAAAAAGTCAGATTCCTTAACAGTCTTTTTGCCTTGCAATAGTGGGAGGGTTTTACAGAGTATGGAGATTTTTGTCGATTATAATATCATTACACAATGTCTGGAGAAATGCATTCTCAATCCTAGAGAAGGGTAGTGGCTTATGTCTTCTGCTTTTCAGTCTTATTGTCTAATTAGAATAAGAAAATAATCTTCTTCACGTATTTTGCCTGACTGGGATAATAAGAAGTTGAAGACCTCAACTTGAATAAATAATTGCCTTTTCACCATCTAGAGAATTTAGTACCTATTCTAATGGCCTCATAATTTCTTTACTTTAGTTATACTTCATTTGGAGAAATGGAGGATGTGCACCAATAAATTCTCTTTCTTTCACCAATAACATCATTGGAACACATTAAGTGACCAGTAGGAACTTGTTTACATTCAGCTATTAATGTGTTTCATGTCCACTAATTGTATTTTGCGATGAATAATATTATCTAAAATTCAGGGTCAAACTGTGATAGGCAAAATTTCCTAGAAAACCAAAATTTTTGGATGACTATAAGAGAAAAGATACAGTGCAAACACCTTGAAATAGGGCTTGATATTCATTACCTTCGACTGTAAGAAACCTTTATAGACATGTTTCAATATGAAAGGCTTTAAGTACTATACTATTAGTTTTTCTTTCTTGCTGAACTTTCTTGCCATTGATAGAAAAGATGTTTCTTGACTTTTCTAGGTCACAGAAAGTCAAGTTTTTATTTGAAAACAAATATAAACAAGATAGAGGGTTTAGGAGTATCTCTTGAAGTGAAACTTCATGTTGTTTTAAGGATAGTATTAAGACTTTATTAGCAAAGAAATAAAAAAATTTCTTGTGAACATCTTTTTTGCATGTGATCAAAGGATTAGCAGAAAGAGTTCTAATTAAATATTAATATAAATAAACTTTTAATATTTTGTGAGAATATAATAGAATTAAATATTTTACTTCCAATTTGATATCTATTATATTGATTTGCTCTATTTCAAATAATTATCAAATTTTTTATTATCTTTTATAAATAGTCTCTGAAAGTTTGTAGTTTTATAAGATACTTTATAATATTTGACTAATAGATCTAATATTTTGATAGATATTTCTAAATTTGATTTTTTCAGATACAAGAGTTTATCTAAAAAATAGTTGAATTTATTTTATTTTATTTTTTTTTTTTAATCCACCGTTAGGCTGACATGGCTTATCTTTATTGTGTATTTAAAATATTATACAATTTCAAAGATTTTCACATGACAGCTCACCCGTCTTAGAAGTTTAACTTCTCTAGATGCAACTTAGGAGATAATATTTTGCTCTCTTAATAACTTGGATTATTCTTTAGCTATCAAATTCATTGTTTGCAGGTCATCACTGTAATAAAAAATATTTGAATTTATTAAGAATTGTTTTGTAAATATTATATATATTATTTTAAAATTTATATAACTCATTAGTCAAAAACTAATCTAGCTAAGAAATTAAATAAATATTTATTAATTATATAAAATTTCAAGCTTCTAATTATTAGGATAGGATATAATTAAATTAATAATTCAACAATTATTTATTAATATTCATATTAATTTGAATTCAATATTTCAGTGACTATTAGGTAATGAACATAGATTAAAAATAATTAGAATTTTACTTTCAAATATTAAATTTATTTAAAAATATTCCTAATATACTATCTATTCTCTTAAATAAAAAGTATTAAAATATATACAATGGTCCATAATTATATATACATTTATATATACTGTATATATATATTTTTAAGATATTAGCTCATCTTGATACCTATATGTTACATATTTTAATAAAGTAAGTAAAAAATCTAGGAACAGCTGGGTAAAGATGGATTCCTAAAGAGAGAGGCAGGGACAAAAATCAAATGTCCCTTACTAAGAAATATTAAAATTTTTAAATTAATAACTATAAAAAAACTATTCACAATTGTTTTTCATTATCCAAATCATTGATTTATAGCATTTCCTAACTTTTGTTCCTATTAAAGTGAAAAACTATGAATTTTGTTTCTCAAAAAAGGACATAAGTGATCTGCAAAATTTTATATGCTAAATACTTTAGGGACCCATCATTACAACTGGGATAAATAATTATCTCTACTGTTTAAAGATTTATAGATTAATGAATAGTATAAAGAGCTAACTATTTATGTCTCATCTAATCAGAATAAGATAATTATATAACCATCCAATATATATAGATTAATTACTTACAAAAACAAAATGCTAAAATAATAATAATTATGATATATAAACTTTATTATTTTTTTATTCGATACTTAGACACTTTTTAGGATCTCAATCCTACTGGATCTCTATTAATAGCTCAGG